GCAGCTCACTCCTCCCACCCGGGGGGGGTGGTGCCGGAGTTCCCTCTCTCGCTCTCTGCCCTGCGCTTTGAGCAGCTTGTTCCTCCGCGGATTTTGCAGCGGTTTTGCCACTTCAGGAAGGGTCCTCCGACTTGATTCTCCCCTTCGAAGCGCTTTGCCTCGGTGACTGCAAAATATTGAATGTCTAGGGAACTGAAATGTTATTCCAGTCTTTAAGAACAAAACTGTGGAATTTTAAAGATAATTCTAATAAAATAGAAGGGAAACATTTTTGGTCTTCTGATTATAGCATCTCAAAATGTTATGTACATATATGCTACTCTGCTTATCACAGAAACCACATACTATTGATATAAAAGAGGTTTGAGAAAGTTACTATTATGTTTTATGAAAGTATACTGGTAGCTTTTATTATAGACCCATTTTTTATATTATTACACCAGTTTTGGAAAAGGGTAATAAGGAAGACCTTGGGAACTACCAACCAGTCAGCCTCACCTCCATGCCCAGTAAGATCATGGAACAGATCCTCCTGTAAGAAATGTCGAAACATATGGAAGGCAGGGCAGTGATTAGAGATAGCCAACATGGCTTCACCAAGGGCAAATCGTGCCTGACTAACCCAGTAGCCTTCTATGATGGAATGACTGCATCAGTGGACAAGGAAAGAGCTACTGATGTCATCGATCTGGACCTCTGCAAGGCCTTTGATATGCTTCCCCCAAACATTCTTAACTTTAATTTGGAGAGAGATTGGTTTGACAGATGGACTGTTAGATGGATAAGGAATTGTCTAATGCCTGCATTCAAAGTCAGTGGCTCAATGTCAAAGGGGAAACCAGTAATGAGGGTTGTCCCTCAACGGTCTGTACTGGGACCAGTACTATTTAATATCTGCATCACAGACATAGACAGTGTGATTGAGTGCACCCTCAGCAAATTTGCAGATGACACCAAGATGAGTGGTGCAGTTGATTCACTGGAGGGAAGGGATGCCATCCAGAGAGAACTTGATAGGTTGAGGAGTGGGCCAATGTGAGCATCGTGAAGTTCAATAAGGCCAGGTGCAAGGTCCTGCACCTGGGTCAGGGCAATCCCTAGTATCAATACAAGCTAGGTGGAGAATAGCTTGAGAGCAGCCCTGAGGAGAAGGACTTGGGGGCACGAGAAGATGAGCATGAGCCGGCCGTGTGTGCTGGCAGCCCAGAAAGCCAACCGTATCCTGGGCTGTATCCAGAGAAGTGTGGCCAGCAGGTCGAGGAAGGAGATTCTCCCCCTCTACTCTGCTCTGGTGAGACCCCACCTGGAGTACTGTGTCCAGCTTTGGGGTCCCCAATGCAAGAAAGACATGGACCTGTTAGAGCAGGTCCAGAGGAGGGTCATGAAAATGGTCAGAAAGCCGTAACATCTCTTCTATAAAGAAGGGCTGAGAGAGTTGGGGTTGTTTAGCCTGGAGTAAAGAAGGCTCTGGGGAGACCTTATTGTGGCTTTTCAATTTATAAAGGGGGTTTGTATGAAAGACAGAGAGACTTTTTACCAGGGTCTCTAG